TAACTGATAAAACTGTTAGATTTAACCCATTCGTTGAATGGTACAAATTTTGTAATGTCAGCTAAAATAAGTACTTCTCAGACTGTTTGAATCTGTATGTACAATAGTATTAGTTAAATGGTATATTTAAACAGTTGAATGGAATTCACTATATTTAATTTTAAGCGTCTCAAAAGCATTTTATGTTTTGTAAAATACCACCCTGACCATGAGCTGTATGTTCTAGATTGCCCACAGTTGAATATATAGATGTAACAATAATTACTAGACACACTAAATGACCTGATCTATATAATTGAAGGTGTTGTATTTGCTTAGCTAGATTAATATTAGCAGATTAGTGAATTAACCGTGTTCCTGATTTATGCCACATATAGCAAGTTTATACGGTTTTATAACGAATTGTTCTAATTTTCACATAAATAATCAAAGATTAGTATATAATATTAAACAATTTCTAGCGCTATTTATTTTATGTAAATGAATATAAAGGTGTTCTGTTTTACATTCACCATTTGTGATACTTAAGTCTTCTTTTGTTTCACCGCAAAATCGAGTAAACTCCAAATTTTAGCCGGAAAAATCACAGTGATTAACTTATTCTGATTTAAAATTATCTCTGATTTTAAATTATCTCTTCAAATAAAAATATAACACATTAAGAAAATTTGTCCAAGAAATATGTCATACGCCCTTTTTTACTATACCTCACAAGATGTGTTTACTATATTAGATTGATATGACATCGGAGGGTAACTCGTAATGGCACATGATAAAGTAAATTTTCATCACGCTGCCATTACCAAACGGTCATCGCGCGCATTCTAGGTACCGGTGAGAATATTGTTTTGTTCGGAGAAATATAAACAAGTATCTCATCCACACGAGAGTGACAGAACAAAATGTTAAGTTAACCCAAAGACAAGTGTTGTCATTAATGATATGTTCTTGTCAAAGGTTAACATTTCGTTCTATCACTCTCATGTGCATGTGATATCTATATATTTTCTTTATAAAGAAAAAAATTGACATATATATTTATACATATACAATTAATTATATATTTTTAATTAGATCAGCTTTTATCGTCATGACTTCGTCTTATTTAATGTCTGTTTAAATATAGTTACAGTTATTTCAACATATTCTAACATTAGAGAGGCAATATTTGTACATTGTAACAGTATAATATGCCTGTTTGAACAGTGGCAAATATTTATCACCCTTGATTTATCTGACTTTAAGATTTAAAAGTCTTGAAGATATGATTACGTCACTATTCAATGTTTCAACAAAATAAATATTTTTAATTGCAATGAAAATATATGCCAATAAATTTTACTTTTCATTCATTTTCATGTTAAAGGTCAGAAATTAAATCATGATCTATGGACGTGTATATATAATAAGTAATAAGCTTAAAATGATTTAGTTCTTAATCTTTTGCACTGCTATAAGTGATTTGTTAAATAAATAGTACATTTATTAGGAACATCGATTTTGTGTGTACTTGCAGTAAATGTCATGCCTTTTAGGGAGGTTTAAAAGCGTGGACTTTCCATGTGATTAAATATTGCTGTTTGGCATCTATCAATTGTAAAAGGTTTCTTTATAACATTGCTGTCGATGAACTATGGCGGTGATGATGTTTTTCGTCATTTTAGGTTAGTCTTATTTTGAATCTAGTTTTTATTTTGTATTTGTAAATATAAGTGTACAAAATGTATTATTGTTTTGTTTTCATGAAAACGTTTGAAAATTTAAATAATAATTTGCAGCTATGTAGATATAATGTTTTTGAAAGGCACAAGTGCTATAACACATCACACGTAAAGTAGATTGACTTTTTGCTTATTAGTACTATTTCTTTCTTTGCAAACATTAATTTATATTATTACCCCTCACTTTTTTCGTAATGCTAATTTGACATAGGCCTCTGGGAGTTATTTTTACTGTTACTGCAAGTGTACCACGTGACTAAGAATTTTGTACTGTTACATAGGTAACAGTATTTTTTAACAGTATAAAATCTGGTCACGTGGTCTATTTTCTAAATAAAATGAAATAAAATGGCCGCCATTTTTTTCTCGATTCATTCTTATTTTCGACGATAGGGCATCGCCGAAGTAACTATTACTCTCATAAAATTTAGTTCTCTGCACCCTAGAGTTCCTTTCGCGTATAAAGTATCGTTTTGTTAAATAGTCAAAAGGAAACATCCGTTTTCAACGGAAGTAATTGTAATGTGAATAATTTTGTGTCAAACTGGAACATGCAGACGATTAAAGCATGCAACAAAGGATTATTTAACTATTTTAACCAGTGAAACGTTACAGATAGAGTTGGTGGACAGACTTCTGTAGAATATCATCGTTATTTTCTAAATGCACTTTGTCAAAAACCATGCGAAGAATATTCTAGATGCAGACGAATCAGATTTCACAGATCATAACCTAATAAATGGGTTAGTGTTTTGTTTTCTAAACAAAACACAGCTTATTTTATGTTTATGACTGGTAGATATCATCACTTGCCTAAAGAATAAAAGAAAAACAGCTTCTCAAGTAGGCCTACAGTACACTTAACACTTGCAAGGTAAGGACAGTTTAGTTATTGCTTCTCTTGGTTTATTTTTGTTACAGTTAGATTTAGTTGACAAATTCAGATCATCACAGTATTTGTTCGGGGTAATAAAATAAATAACACATGGGTTTGTGGGTAACAGTAAAAATATCATCCCTCGTATAAATACTGTTACCCGAGGCGTAGCCGAGGGTAACAGTATTTTCCTCGGGATGATATTTTTACTGTTACCCACAAACCCATGTGTTATTTATATACTACTGATATTAACATTAAAGCTGCTACCAGTTAAAATGTTGTTTTATTGTGTTTTTGTATCACATTTATACTCAATGCTTGTTATTGTTTTGAAAAAAAAATCATTTCTAAATACATAATTATATGTATTTATTGCTTCTACTTTTTAAAGTTATGTTCTCATAGTTATGCCTTTTTACAAATTATAGCTTGCATTTACATTTTACCTGACAAAGACGTGTTTGACGGCTTTTCACCTATTAAGGTCCAAAACACTGTTTTTCGTTTGAGAAGTGTTATTAAAAATGTGATCACTTTTTCTGCGCTGCCCCCTATCAAAAGAGTACATGAAGGGGTACTAGAAGGGGAACGTTTACCCTGTTTTGGGTAACAGTAGCCCTCCTCAACGCTAAGAACATTTTGGACTTGTGAGAGGCTAAAAAGGCTTCAGGTCGATCTTAAGGTAACATGTAAATAACTCTGAAAAGCCATTTACTCTATCTCAATCCATCTAGAAGTTGCAGCAGAAAAATTATATATTGAATTTTTGACAATTTTGAGACGTCCCCCGTGTCATTGTAACAGGAAATTAATGATTGAGCATGCTCATGATGCTGTTACAAAAGCTATGGCTCAGTCAACATTTGTGCCATGTTTGATCAGTATTGAAGCATTTTTATATAGTTTCATAGCAGTTTGAACTTGTAACAGGAGTTTTGTTTTTTTTAATTAAAAAAGCCATTTTTCACAATATGCTCATGTAGTAAAAGTTTAAGAAAAAAAATATTTATAAATAAATAAACAATCAATTAACGAAAGAACGAACGAACGTACATACGTACGTACATACATACACACATCAATAATGTAATATTTTGTTCAATTCAATTGTTTATGTTTCAGTTTTTCTACCAGCTGTAACTACAGAATATACACCAGCAAATGCAGCTCAATTACGAACTCAAATATTTGCTAATAATAACAGTAAAGATCGACCAACAAACCAGACTGTTATAGATATAGACATTGGCCTCATGCATATAACCGAGTTTGTGAGTGATTCTACATTCATTAATTTTTATTTACTTTATATACATATGCTCATAGTAAGTAAAGTAATGATCATTATTTTTATAAATCTTACGTATGTAAAGTTTAGCATATAAGTATTGTAAAAAACATACATTTTTTAAATCTATATGTTAACAAATTTATGTGCATATGTTTTACTGAATATGATTTAAGAATAATTGGACCAATTATTACGAAGCATGGTCTTGATCATAGTACGGCTTGAATTTACAAATGTTCTGAGAGTGGACGAAGCATTGTACATCAGTCATGACATACTCGTATAGTATATTCACATCTTTGTTCCTTTCGGAATCAGGGATAAGAATGGTCTTATTCTGTCTGTCATTTTACAATTTTTCTTGTTTAATGCCCGGAATATGACTCGAAGGGTGCATTTACAGAATCTTAAAATATTCATATTTAGCAGATAGGAAACATTCAGTGTATGCAATCATCATCTGTAACCGTATCTGTTCTAATTTATAATTATCTCTTTGCCTAACTTGAAATCTAATTCAAGGAGTTATTTGAAAATAAAATGTTGATATTATGACGAGTATCAACACCTTATCTTGTTATATGATCATATGAGCCGCGCCATGACAAAACCAACATAGTGCGTTTGCGACCAGCATGGATCCAGACCAGCCTGCGCATCCGCGCAGTCTGATCAGGATCCATGTTGTTCGCTTACAAACCCTATGACAAGTAGAGAAACTGATAGCGAACATCATGGATCCTGATCAGACTGCGCGGATGCGCAGGCCGGTCTGGATCCATGCTGGTCGCAAACGCACTATGTTGGTTTTGTCGTGACACGGCTCATACCATCACGCTTTACCAAATTATAATAATTTGCCCCATTATTAATCCAGTAATAGTTACCGAATGATGAGCAAAGTATAACCACGGTCCGCATGGATTAAAATTATTTCCCTTTATGATAACAAGGGATGTGCACACATCCGTGATATGTCCAGTGATTTATAGGGAAAAAAGAATCATGATACATGTTGAATAGCATGTTGTTTAAAGGGAATTGTTTATGTATCTTATTTACATATAATGAAAAAAGTCACAATTATATTACTAGATTCAGACGCGATGTCATATCTTTAACTTAACCTTCGATATCTTTTGTAGGATATCATTATGCAGGAGTTGGATTGTGCCGCCTTTCTGACGTCTGTAAGTATATGTTTTCAATGTCAGAAATGAATTAAATGTTGACTATAATGTAAATTAAAACTTTAAAAAAGGTTAATTATAAATTGAAAATGTTGTCTTAGTAAAATCTATATCAAGGGGCGTCCATCGTCAAGTGGTCAGGGTCGTTGACTTCAAACAACTTGCCTGCTAGAATTTCGATGTAAGGAACGTCGGTGGTTCTACACAGGTGCCTGTTTGTGCCTGAAATAATGCACAGTGGGGCACCTGAGGTGTTTCACCACCGGTAAAAGCTGGAAAGTCGCCATGTGACCTATACTGTGCGACGTAAACCAAAAACAAAAATCTATATCAACATATTTCCATGATACTAGTAGTTAAATAGACCTTAAACAAAAAAAAAATCTGGCTAGATCTTTAAGAATTATAATAACATTATATTTATAAAGAATATGAATTATGTTGGTAAATAACAATTAACTTTTAAATTTAAATACCTTCATAATATATATATCCTCTTCAGAAGTGGCAGGATGATCGACTTCAGTGGAATGCGTCCGATGTTGGAGGCATGGAAAGTTTCTTCACTTATCGTTCGGATGTTTGGTCACCTCCACTTGTAATTTCTAATTCGTAAGTTCAGTTATATTTACGAGGGCTTTTACATTTTAATGCAACACTGTGAAGGCTTAGAGCCGATGATAGAGAAGCACTGACTAATTATTTGCATTTGGTTCAAATGTTGGATTTCGCTAAGAACGATAATTTTACTTCGGACACTTTTAACTCATTAAATATGTAATTCGTGTGGTTGACCGCATCTATCGTATGTCTCTTAAAAAAGCATTATTTTTTTCACGTCAACGCATACAGAAGCTGTTTAAGAGGTAAACTAATTTAGTACAAAAATTAAACCTTCCGGATGTTTGTCTTTTAAGTTTTTAATGTGAAAGCTAAACAATTGCAATTTTCGCAATATCTAATTGATTGTGTCATATTACAAAATTGTTTATATTACAGAGCGTACGATGTGAAGATCATAAATGATAATGGAGATTTGGAAAGTAATCCTGTACTCCTTCAGAGTAACGGAAGTGTCTTGTGGGTCACAGCGGTCAACCTTGTATCACAGTGCACTGTTAATATAAAGTTCTACCCCTTTGACACTCAAATTTGCAAAATTAGAGTATGTTTTTTTTTTATTTTACTTATTTTTTCACCATAATTGGTTACCATTTGTCTGCTGGGTTTGCTCGGCACGGCGTGTCAGGATTTCAGATTTAAAACTGCCGCACTGACTAAAACTTTATATAATCAACCAACTATTCATTGTCTTATTGGTTTGTAATAAATTTACTAAATTTGGTTTTAAACTTTTAAGTTCTGTTGATTGGGAACCATACTTTTGGACCATAATTTTTCATGGATTAGCATGAAGATGCCACACAGAAGTTTCTATATGGTAAGCGCCACATGGTCATACCAGAAGATGCTTTTTAAAATCTAAATTTAAATCCGTTACATCATTGTATTTCAATATTGAGTTCTTGATATGCTAGTCCAGAAGATTGCACTTACAACTACTGTCCATGAGCAGGCTCAATGTAACCGAACTGACGTCAATGTCAGTTTGTTTTGGCCGACACTTGAGGATTTATTTAATCAAAACGTCCCTACTAACTCATTTTATAATTGTATAAATATTGCCATGTTAAACGTTATGCTGATATTCTTTCAAATTATCTTATTCTTTTAGTATTATATTGTCGGCCAATTAAAATGCTTTTGGCTAAAAGTGTACACACAAGGCACCCATATAGAATTAGAAATAATACTATAATATCGATAATAAAAGTAAAAAGTATTGAAAGGTCATAATATGAACTTACCTCTAGCCTTCTGGAAGCAATTAATTCAATCCACGTGAACAGAGCAGACGAACAATGAAGACCAGGATCAGCCGGTACACACGCGCTGTTTGATCATGTTCTGTACTGTTAGCCGTTCATTCACTGCCTTGTTTTCATTTGTTTTCTTACAATCCTAAATGCTTTAGAATGGACAAGTTCATTTAAGATATTTATTATGTTAAAAGTAAAGACTTTTTTCGCAAATTTTTGTATCATGATTAGAAGAAATTTGCATTTTGTTGAAGATAGAATATCTTAACGGGTTGAATATTTTGCAATCACTTTACTTGTAATTGACACTAAAATTCCTGATTAGTTAAAATAGGTAAAATGCATGTTATTTTCACAAACTTTTCATGCTACTGTTTTCAATGATTCAGCTCACACTGTTGTTAATGTCACAAAATAAATGAGCCAGCTGTAATGTCAATACACTAAACGCATACACAAATCAACGGATTTTTCTCAGTTTTATAAAAAATAATTATCGGAAAGTCAAATCCGAAAAGCGACAGATTGGAGGCAAATCAATCAGCAATATCACTTTAATAAATAATACAAATGCATATTGCCCTATATAATAGGTAGCCCCCATGATGTACCTTGATGAACACGTGGACTTAATGTCGTCTGCCCAAAATGTGAACTTTGACCTGTACGAAGAAAGCGGTGAATGGGACGTCGCCGACAGCAGTATAAATAAAAGAGATTGGTGAGTATTAAAGCTGATTATTTTCTGAGCTCTTGAAGTTCTGAAGCAAAGATTATTCTGAAAAGAACTACTTCTTAAAGGCTCAAATTTGTCTAAGTTGTCCATTAGGCATATTCCATACTAAAAACTGGAGAACTAAAATAATCGAAGGTGAATAACTCTTATATTACTAAGCTGATGTGGAAACTTGGGTAACCGCCCCTACTATAACTTTTGAATTACACATAGCATATGGCCAAGTAAGTACAGTGTAAACAGAAATTATAATAAATATGTTAAAAGTATTTAAACAATTTTCAGAGAAGTATGTTTTCATATGTACAAATAAATATTGTTTTCTTACTTGATAATGTAAAGTATGAATAATTTACATCGTCCGTTGCAAAGACACATTTGTTTTCTTATCACTCTTTTAACTCATTCCTTATCTACAAGACAGTCATAAGTGCCCACCTTAGAATACCATATACATGTATTTCACTACAGACCAGTATTGCCGACCATGGCATATGAAATATGATTAATATTGATTATTTTCGATTATATTGTTGTTTAATACATTTTAATCCAAATTGATGTAGGTTTTATGCATAATTATACAGAAATGTATTAAATCATAATTATTGCAAATTTCGGTTCTTGTAAGATATGCCTGGAACAAATTCATTTCGTGTATTAATACAATGTACATATTTTTTTCATTACAAATCTATTTAGGTAATGGTTAATTAAAAGAAAAGTTTTACCATTTCATATATTTTTATGAATTATACAAAGACGTCACCTTTGATCACGGTTTAATTGTGTATTCACTTAATTTCAGGATGCTTGGTGTTTATAAGATATCTGTGATTGAGTTTTCGTTCCAATTAAAGAGAAAATATTCCTACTATGTTTTAAACATGATCCTGCCTGTGATTGCCATTGCCTGGCTCGGGCCATTTGTTTTCATGCTACCGGTAGAGGGCGGTGATAAGATTGGATTTTCTCTGACGATTCTTTTATCACTGTCTGTTTTGTTGTCACTTGTGTCGGACAGCATTCCACCAACATCAACTCATGTCTGTGGTCTAAGTAAGTTTGTACAAAAATATATATATTCAATGTATACAGTATACCTTATTGGACCCTTATTGTATTCTTAACTGGATGCTTTTTAATGTTTTATTTTGTGCGTAAAAAAAAGGGTTGATCTTAAATACATGGATCGTAGTCAGTCTTTGATGGGGTCTAGCATCTTATGTTTTTATTAGTTGTATCATTGTATCGTAATTTAAAAACTTATTTCTTTATTTAATATGAATTTCAACTATTTCATAAATAACTATAAAAAATCTCGGCAAAAACATGTTTTTGTATAATATATATCAGCTTTAAAGTATGAAAATAATAAAATTCTCCATACTTCATGTATGAAAGTGAAATAATAAAATTATAAGTTTAAGCATGCTTTAATAATAAACTATTTTATTTTGTTATTTTTATTTCAGGTGTATACTTGATAATGACTTTTATATTATGTACCATTGAGACGCTAGTCACGGTATATATATGTCGATGGCATAAATGGGCTACCGAAGAAAAAAAGATGGGACCTCGGGCTCAGAAATTTACCAAATTTTTAGCAAAAGTGACGCTCTCGAGGTAAATATTCTACATAGAAAATATTGAATGAACAAAAGAAAATTGTATCATTCTTACACCCTTTCCATGCTAATATCTTAAAAAACGTGTCAATCCTTCAATCTGGACAAAACCATTCATCATTTATCGGAAAAGTATTGACTGAGACCACGATCAGGACACCATGGTCGCATTGATAGAATCATTTTCCACCGGCAGGCTAAGTTTTAAATGACGTCGCATTTGACGTCATCGTGACATGAAAATTCGCCTCCAAAATAATTATTATGTTTCTTATTACACATGTTTGTAAATCCTTATTGTAAAAGTTTTGCAAATCTTTTTTATCTAAAAAAATGTTACTATTTCAGAAAGCATAAAGATGATACTTCAAGTGAAACGTCTGCGGCTGAGGAAGATCCAAAACAATTTAGGAAAAAGGGATCAGTAGACAAGGCTTGGGAAACTGAAAAGGACCACAGCAAGAACTTTGAGAATATTTATGAAACTCCCTACACCCATCACGATCTTATTTTGTTTTTCGACAGGTTTAATTTTATTTTGTTCAGTATTATTAATTTTCTTATAACAATAATAACAATGATTGCTATATCCGTAGGAGGATCAGCTTGAAATGACAATAATAAAACTAAGCAAAATACGTATTTGAATATTACTCAAGTACAAGCATTTTTCAGTGACAGATGACTTTTACTTGAAATCAGCTTCTTAGCATTTTTAACGAAATATTTACCGATACACCAAAACTAAATAAGAACACAGAGAATGCATTTCTAAAAACATATCCTTGCAAAAGAATTTCAACATATCTTCGTCGGACACCCATGGTACAATTTCCATACACGTTACTTTAATACTAAACCGTCTTGGTTTCCAAGGATGATTATCGAGGATGATTACCGAAGATATTTACCGAGAACTGTTACCAAGGACGGTTACAGATGTAAGTTACCGATGGCGGTTATCGAGGATATAGTAACCAAGGACGAACATTCAGAAGGGTTACCGAGGGACGGTTACTTAGGATGGTTACCGAGGACGGTCACTAAGGGACGTTAGTAAGGTTAGCAAGGACGGCTACCGAATAGTTACCAAGGATGGTGTATTGCTGCTGTACATGGTTACTGATTGTTACCGATAGCGGTTTCTGAGGACAGCTATGGGAATGATTACTGGGGATTGTTTGCTGAGGACGCGTAGTGAGGAAGGCTAACAAGGACGGTTACCGTGAATGATTACCGAGGATGGTTTAAACTATTAAATGAATGATATTAAACTAAATGTAAACATGGGTATTATCCAAGAATATATGCTGTACCCTTGACAAATATATCCTCGGGTGGCCATGATTCGTCACCCTGAGCATTTTACAGTGCTACTGTTTCTATATCTATTTTCTAATGATCCAAGCAAGCTATGTTGAAGAAATTTGGCAGATACATTAAATTTACTATGATGTTTAAAAATATCCAACTGTTTTCTCTCTTAACGACAATTTGTTGAGACTTTCTGATATACACTGGAAGGGTGTTGACTCTAGGACAGAGACGAATTTAGGGTACCCGACGATAGTTTAACTTCTAAAAGGGTAAATAACCAATTCTGATTATTTTCACATGTTTAAAAGTTTTTACTGAAAACAGCTGGAATGAAGTGTATAATTGTTAACAAATATTTATTTACGTTCAAATTAATAGAAAAAGAAATTTAAAAACATCAGACCATACAGAGTATATCTCTTTCAGAAATGTTAGACAGAAAGTTAGGGCAAACTTATTGAAAGAAAAACAAAAAAAAACTTTTTTTTCAAATTACTTTTATTGTATTTTTCATAACACACTATTATACTATTATGTAACTATTATGAAACGTACGTATTTTTGCAATAAATTTACATGTCAGTGATAATGTCTCAGGTTGTCTGTTAGCAGAAATAATGTCGTCATGATATTTCGATTTTAACGTAAACGTAACGTTTTCGATAACAAATACTTTGCATGTCTGAATTCTGAATATATCGCGTATTTCAAAATAATTATCAAAGACATTTTTGATGCCGATAACGTCTTCTTCACAATTTAAGTAATGATGTAGCTCTGTACTTACGATAGCCTGCCTCGTTGTGTTGTATAACGCAAAAGAAACGACATCACCTATATATTCCGGTGCCATATACAGGCTTCGAAACTTTTCATTTCTGTGCCCCACAGCCTTCCATATCTTTTCGTTTCGAAGCACCACAGGCTTCCATATCATTTCATTTCTGTTCCACACAGGCTTCCGTAACTTTTCATTTTTGAAGCCCCTACAGACTTCCATATTGTTCATTTTTGAAGTCCCCACAGGCTTCCGTATCTTTTTATTTCTGCACCCCACAGGCTTCTGTATTATTTTTTATTCCGAGGCATTTGAAGCAACCAAAGTCATTTTGAAATAATAGTTTCAACTGAATTTATACTGTGCATTTTCCTTTCAGTGTAACTTCAGTAAAAATAATGATTTTGTCCAACTTCAGTGATCCATAGATCATGCATTTTGCACGTTTTAATCTGACCCTGGTAATTTTCAAACGTTGAGAAATGAATTTTCAAGCATATACATGTATTTATCAGTTTTAATACATGTCAGTTTTGATAGATATTTAAATAATCTGTTTCAAAAAAAAAACTGTCATGCTACAGATATTGTACAGGAAAACATTAATCGACACAGTCCTTTGGGATCATTAATTGCAGCACTTCTAAGCGTTGAAAATTGAGTAACGTTCACATCAGTGCTAGGTGTGAAGGATGTTGCACTGTTTCATTTTTACCGATCTACAGTCTCAAGTGTGTAGACAGTTCTGGTCACATTTTTGTGTTTTTGAAATTAGACACTCATTCGTTATTTATCTTTTATCTTCGTATTACTAAGAGATAAAATATCTAGTTAATCTGATAAATATCTGTTATATATCGTGTTAACACAAAAACAAGCTAGTTCTTTTAGCCGAAACAAAGACATTCCCTTGCACACACAAACTAATCCGAAAACTATTACAACATTTCTAGAATAAAGAACAAAACAGTGTTCGAATATCACTTTAAATAAATGTATTGTACATTAATTAACGTGAGTGTTCCCTATCTGCTCACGCATAAATCAATATATTGTCACCAAAAAAATGCAAAATATATTCTTATCGGTTCATATTTAGTCAGTATTTATGCAAAACATACGGTTTAATCCAGTAAATCTAGAATATATTATGATAGTAATTATCCTTACAGACATATCTTCATAAATTCTGTCTTTTTTGTATCGACATTTTCTAACAATATGAGACGGAACGTAATTATGGATCCAATAATATCTCGACATTATTAAATAGATGCATCATTTAGTGAGGCAGATGGTATATAATATCTTATTTCTGTCTTGGATGTTATTCCCCCAATTCATCCAATACTTTGAAAGTTATGATGCCATTTACTTTTGGTCTTTATTTGAATTCGTTTGGAAAAAAACTCAATTAACTTTTTGTGGTTTTCTTTTATAAAGTCACGTTTCTCTTCAATTTTAACATAATACTTACGATATCATACCTAACGTATGTTTGGAGATACCCGTTGCTAATTCAAAATAATCTTGTTCATATAAAACAAAATAATGCATAGTAAGCATCTTTTGAAACGATATAAAATGATAATTTGTACTTTTGTAATTATATTTACAGCTTATCCGTTCTCCATGTACATTTATGTTAAACAAACGATTAATAATATAAAATGAAATCTTACTTTGTTTGGTTGGGTTTTACATCGCTCAGTATATAGTGATCATATGATAATTTTCCAGCTTTTTTACTGGCGGAGGAAGGCCACAGGTGCCCACCTGTGCGTTATTTCTGGCACGAACAGGCATTTGAATAGAATTATACAATTTGGCCATGTTAATTTACATTGCTGGTTTCAAATCAAGAAATACTATGACTGAAACACCCGTATAATATATTAATACTTTAAAAAAAGTAAAACAGAAAATGAGTATACTGGAAATTCATAAACTTAACTCATAGTTCATGTCTTTGCTGTATCTTTATTAAAATAATTACTAATCAGTGTTAATGAAGACTAAACTTTCAACATGTTTGTGGTTTGTCCGATGAAATTATAACTTTACTATTTAAAATTTCTTGAAGGATTGTCACTGCACATTTTGTGTTCTAATGGCTCAAATATCAATATCACAAAAAAAAAAATATTTCCAAAATAATTTTTTATTGCTGGTAAGTTATAGACAGGACTGATTTTAAGAAAATATGAATGCTAGAGGCATTTTATAGTACAAGTAATATCTTGAGTGTTTTAACCTAATATGGGTATGCTGAAGACGATGAGGGTGGATACCAAGAAAATAAAATTGACCTTGACCTTCAAAAGGTCAATTCAAAATGGCCGCTTAAAACTACTAAAATAGGTCATTAAAAATATGATACAATATGATGCAATTAATTATTATTGTCAAAATGATTATTCAATATGATCAGATTTTAATGAGATTGGCCACCAAATATAGCGAATGTAAGCCTAATGGCTCAATTAACAGTATATACATGTACAGTACTGTTTTACTAGCGCGTTAAGGTATAAGACTAGCTAAGATTGAAAAAAAAATCACTTTTAATGTTTTGTTTACTTGACTTATATTGAACAATAAACTTAGTTTATAAATATTACCAAAGAATAAATATTTCGTAATAACAAATTAATATTTCGTAAGAACGAATCAATATTTCGTAATTAAGATTTTATATTTCGTTAAAACGAAATAATATTTCTAATTGGGAATTATTATCTCGTAAAAACGAATTCAATTCCGGGAGAAAGTTTGGAAAATGTGACTTCAGGTGTTCCGTAATTATTTGTAGCTATGATTTTTTTAAGTTGTTCATTTTGTTTTCATATATTTTGCACTTATTATGGTATTTATGGTTTAAAATGAGTATTCAAAAATTATTTTGAAATGTCAAAAAGTGTCATTTCAATGCCATAAACACAACACAAACCGAGACAACAAGTGGTTTAAAATACATACTGCGCCCTCACAAAAAAAAAAAACAAAAACAAAAAAAACAGGTCTTAAAAAATTGGCACCAGTAGGAATCGAACCATAGACCTCTCACACATCAGTCAATCACTTAACCGTCTGTGCTACTGCGGAAGTAACAATGACGTTTACATTTTTAGCAGATATGACTTTAACTAACATTAGTTTCATAATTTTTTTTATTTTATGCTTTTCAGTGGATTACTGATTTATCCGTGAACATTATATTTGATAATTTCACAGTGAAAATTATCAAAATATAATTTCACACTTTTCAATGACGAAACTACTTTCTTAAGATTTTCCCCATGTGGTACCTCAATTTTATTTTTGCTGACAATTCTGACAATATCAGGCTGTTTCGAGAAAAGCAAAGTTGAAATTGGTAAATAACTTAAATGTCAAAAGTAATAAAAATATTCATCTAAATTACCAATCACCAAATATCGTCTCTTAATTTTTTGTTTGTTTCATTTTTACAGTCTGAAAAATACATTCCTTCCAAATGCAAAACTGCTCTTGATGACATTTGGGCATATTTAAGTTTACCATCTTGTTTAAAAATAAGTGACTATTTAATTTGAAATTTAAAGTTAAAGTTAAAAACAACAACAACAATAACAACACCATATTTTCATCGAGTCATAAAATGTCTGAAACCGGGAGATTGCTACGTGTGCTTGCTATACCATGACAGCTCTCGAAAATTTTGGAATTCAATCACGGTTGAAGATTATCACATCATTCCGGGTACCCTCCAATAAATTTCTAGGATATCTTAAAGTAACAGCAAAGTTGTCTATACAAATATTACTTGTAAAAAATGAAGACCATATATAAAAGTCACGTGGGTTGGCTACATAGTAGAGGTGTTAAAATATAATTGTAATACACCTTTTGTTAGCCATTGAAATAGTATTTTATGTATAAAGGATTTTCAAAAATGGTTATTATTCAGAGCGGGCGCAATGGTGCAGTGGTAACACTGTCTGCCTACAAATCAAGGGGTCGTGAGTTCGATCCCCCGCTACTCCACTGAACGAATAAATGACTACAAGACTGACAAAACCAGGACATAGACACATAATGATGGCAACAATAGAAATAAAAGAAGACCTTAACGGAGCAGGAAACAAGTACCGAAAGTACAAGACCGAAGACGACGACCGATAACAGAAGGAAGAACGGAGACAAGAACTGAAAACAAGAGAACAGAGACGAGGACCGATAACAGAAGAACTGACAACAAGCGAATATATACGTCGACCGATACCAGAAGAACAGAGACAGGGATCGATAACAAAAGAACTGACAACAAGCGAACAGAGACAGGGACCGATAACAGAAGAACTGACAATAAGCGAACAGAGACGTCGACCGATAACATAAAAAACAGATACAGGGACTGATAACAGAACAACTGACAACAAGACAACGAGGATTGGTAACAGAAAAATAGAGACGAGGACCGATAAAAGGAATAACATAGACGAGAACAATGCAGACGGGAACTGATAGAACAATTGACAACATGAAAACAAAGACCAGAACTGATTACAAAAGAAAAGAGACGAGAACGGATGACAGAAGAACGAAGACGAGAACCGATAAAGAATAGATAGGACAGAGACCGATAACAGAAAAACTCACAACAAGACAACGGAGACGAATAACAGAATAATAGAGACGAGAATCGATAAATAGAACTGATCCCAGAAGAATGGAGACAGGTATCGATAACAGAGACGGGAGCCGATGACAAAATAATTGACAACATGAAAACGGAAACCAGGACTGATTACAGAAGAAAAAAGACGAGAACCAATGATAGAAGAATGGACAAGAACAAAGACGAGTACCGATAACAGAACAGGACATGGACCGATAACAGAAGAACTGACAACAAGACAACGGAAACGAGGACTGTTGACAGAAGAATGAGGACGGGGTTCGATAACAGAGACGGATGACAGAAGAATTGACAACAAGAAAACGGAGCCAGGACTGATTACAGAAGAATAGAGACGAGAACGGATGACAGAAGAACGGAGAAGAACGAAGAAGACGACCAATAACAGAACATCTAACAACAAAAGAACTGAGCCCATGACCGATTACAGAAGAACGAAGATCACGACCAATAACAGAAGAACTGAAAACAAGAGAACTGCAACGATGACTAATAACAGAAGAACGAAAGTGACGACAAATAACAGAAGATCTGACAGCAGAGAAATGCGACGAGAACCGATAACAAAAGAATGAAGACGACGACCAGAAGACTCAGAAAAAGGTACTCAGAAAAAGGTGCCTTTAATTAATGTATATTTTGCATGCACCCGTTTAACCCCTCACACATATTTACACTGTGCAAATATAAGTATAGGCATCTGAGTAGCCACTCTATATGCTTGCATAGAGTGCCAGATAAAATACATGAAAAATATAAATATAAATAACTGATAAATATATTAATTAACCATACTTAAAAGGCTCTTTATAAAAAAAGCTAACTAACTGCAACAAAGCCAACACGACGAGTAAACATTACAGACTGCGATAAGGCATTTTTATCAATCAAGCCATCATCGAATATTTTAATAATTTAAGAGTAACACTACATACAGACAAACTGCACATGCAGTTATAAATAACTGGTTATGCAATGGAATTATAATTTCTTTCTGAACATAATGGAAACAAACATGCAACTTTTAAAACCAATTAATAATCATCATGGTTTATGGATAAATCAATTTTTTAATAAAAGCTAATAGTAATTCATCGTAATATAGTAGTTTATAGTACTCATAATTTAATGATGAGTTGGTTGTATCTTTTGTTTAAAATGTCACGCAAACAAATCGTTTAGTAAATGCTGTTAAAACCACGATAAAAGCTGACGTAAACTATCCATGGCCAAATTAAGTGAGTTTCATTACACGTTCTATTAAAGTATTATTTTTGTGCTATCACATCTGCACGAGCACGGGAACGTATTTAAAGCCCGTGCGGATTTAAGAAGATCCGAGGGCATACAGTTATGTGTTAACGCTTTTTTTAAGAACTAGTACACAGCACGGAGGGTCTCATATAATAACAAAATGACCAATAGGTGAGCCCAAAAACATTTGATGCACCGAAACCGAAGGCAGTATAATGTTACGACCTTCGAAGTACTGTATGCTATTTCTTAAATTATACAGCACATTACAAGAACATAAGGGTCAGTTAAACGCAGAAGTCAATTACATTGTTTAAATAACAAAATTTATATTGAAGTGTAATGAAAAGTATTAGTAGTTTTCGTTTTGTAAATTTTAGCAGTCCGTCAAAAATCTTAATAGTGCTTGCTCAGGCGGTCACTATAATTTTTGTCGGAACGCTGAGGTCAACGTAAATATTACATTATTTTAAGGCTCGTCGACACTTATATAAAAATAACACATTTATGTAAGGTATTTATTAAGGTTAATATGTGAGAAAATGAAACATTTTCACCTTGTCTGTATCGAAAAATAGTCCACATCAATTTATGAGACATTAATTTCTAGTAAATTTCCACACAGATTATTCATTAAGAAATCAATGTTCACCTGTCTGCTTAAGTGTAAATTGACTACAACTTTAATATATTTTACTGGCAAATGTTCTGCATGTTTATGAAAGCAAATTAGGAAGTTTGTTGTAAAAGGAAAGATTTTGCAGCCTGATGAAAAGAACTCATTGTTGAAAATGGTTTTTGATCACGCCAGGTGTTATTTATTACTTTGAAGCTTATTCATTTCTTTGACATTGCTGCAACGTCAATATGAAGGCATGACCAAAACGCATTAAAAACATCTTATTTATTCTACATTTACTATACTAGAAAAAAACATATGAAATAAATATTCTGAGAGTATGTATCGAAGTTTAATTACTTTAAGTTAAGTTCTGGCTTATGAATTGCTTTTAACTAATTTGAATTCCCTTTAGCGTATAAATTAAGGGCTAATTATTTTTGAACAACTCTTATATGATATATTCAGTTTTTAATTAATCTTTTTTGTTTTGGTTTTTGTTTTGCAAAAAGTTATTGACTCTTCAAATACAACTGAATTCAGTCAAAATAGAGACAAATGAAATTGCTTAGGCCGTTCAAAACTGAACAAGTTGCGTGCTCGTTCTTTGTTCCGTTTGGCGTAACAGCAACACAGTAGAAGGATACTACAGACTTGAATTTCAAGAGCCTACCTGCAAGTTAATAACGAAAACATTGGTCATTTTCATAATGTTTCCGTCAGTGCAAATATATTGTGATATACTCAGATATTCATTAGTCATTTTTGTCACATTTGCCATGATCACATTTCTGAAAAAAAGACACTAATTTAAACTGTTTAATTAAATGAATTGGTACATTTGCATTAAACTGTTAATATCTTCAATGAGACTATTGCAAAACGATATGCAATGGAAAACAATTATGATAAGTGAAAACGAACATCTTATCTAGCATGCAATTTAAAATTGCAGAAATTTCGCTATCTTTGCCACAATAATAACCAATGACGCACCATAACTTCATAAACCTTGATTAATAACTGTTTAGATAATAGAGAAGGACTTTTTTCAGATATTAATAAAATGTAAATAACTTGCACTTACCTTATTATCTTTGTGTAATAAATATTTCTTATGAAATATAGAAAATATCTTAATTAATCAGTATTGCTAATACCAATAATCAGTAACTTACCGTACCGAAATTCCATTTAATCTATCATTTGAATATATCATTTAAATATTAAGAAAATTGAATAACAATTTAGATGCAACTTTTTTGCAGAGTAGTCACGCAAACATCCAATTAGGTACATCGTCTTCAATAAAAACTATAAAACTACGAAAACAGTTTACAAATTGAATTTGTAAATGGCTGGAACTTTCAAAGATTGTTTAAAACGTTTCTAAATCATTTTACTATTTAATGCATTGTCAGTTAGAAACAATTGGATTTTAGTTGCTCCTTTTTGAATACCGTATTATGGTAGAGCAAAGTTAAAGTAAATCACGTGAAACAGTATTACTTCTTATAACATAACATAATTTATGATAATGTTAGAATGGTAACGGTAGAAATAGGGCCACAAGATTTGTGCACACATAGATGGTGATTAGGATGATTCTCCAAATAAAAGCTTATATATATCAGGAAACATGTTCTAATTATTTCAATTACAATTCCTGTAATAATTCAAATGAGCTTAAACATTGAATATATTTAGAAAATGACAATTACAAAGATGTCAGAGTGTCTATTTTATTGAATTTATTGATTCGAACATTGTCTCAGAACTTGGTGCAATAGGCCAATGGTTATCCAGTCTCATATGTAATAAATAAAATTGCAGACTTTATGTATTTGTTAATAGATTACATTTGCTTTGCTTCCATGCTTTTAAATTATCCAAAGCATTACACAAGAAATGTAGTAAGGTACAAACGCTCTGATACGATTTTGTTATATATAATATCAACATTTCCGATGCGAATAAATGGCAAGAATTAAGGATGTAAAATCAATCAAACAATAATTTACTTATCTCTGTCAATTTTGATATATGAAGCAAATTATTTGTATCAACCATTTTCAAACCAAATCAAACAGCCAACAGTAGGAATAGTAACTATATAAAATTCTATGATTATTTATAAGGGTTATACGTATTAGATTCTTTATAATTAAATATATTTTAAATATTGCCAATAACACGGCTTATTACTCTATGCTAGTGCAATCACATGATTTATAATTTCGATGGAGTGTTTGACAAACATTTCAAGGATGAAACATTCCACCTTCGTAAATGACCCCGGAAATGATTTACTGCTACATTGTTTGGATTACGACTACTGTGCAATATACATATCGGCTTAGCCATGAACATTGCATGTAAATTCAACTTTGTCAAAATATGCTTTAACAGATACCAAAAGTTAAAGTGACATTATGCCCATCTAAAGGTATATAGTGAGTGAACAGGTAAGCGTCAAAATAAACTTTCATTTTGCCATAATTCCTTTCGATTTAATAATTTACTTCGCATAAAAAATAAATAACCACCAGATTCAAACAAAATTTCAGTAAATATCATTTAAAATTTACCTGTAAGTTCACTTATAAAAAGTGAGTGGGACAGTCTTTCTATACTTAAGGCAGATATTAAATTTTATCCTAAGCATTTTTGAATATAATCTATTGGTCAAACATCATTTAAACAGTCAATCTTTTGAAATATAAAGTCAATTCAGCTCAACTTGACAATGGAAATATGAGCATTATGTCACTTTAAAATTTTGTATCATCACATTTTCAAGCTAAATATATATGTAACCGTTTTTAACCAATTATTTGAAATCAACAAAAATCAGTGTTTTATTTTTTTTCAATGACATTTCCATCGTTTTGTGTTCCCACATAATTAAACGAAAGTCCAGCGAAGTTTGAAATAAAAAAATGCACCTTAGGATAAATGCTGCTATTTAACAAAAATAACTTAAAAGATTTCAAAGACTTTCTCTTCTCCATACAGCTCGAAATGTAACACATATATACAAAAAAAATTAAAGAATTAAGTCCTCGAATTTTTATTAAGTCACCAAATCTTGCAGTGAAGAAAGATAAGTTAATTAAAGTAGCAACTCATTAGTCATTTTATGTCTTTTCAAATTCAGTGCAAGTACTATCCTAAACGACCATAGCTGCTCTCACAAACACGACTATATTGATTTTAGTTTTAGTGTTTCTGTCTGTTGGTGTCTGCATTAACGAGAAAAATATTATTTTGCCTTTTTGACCTTTTCAGCTCTTAAGACTAGACACACAATTATGATGATTATGTTCTGAAATTAATAATTTACGAAGTACATTGTCCATATAGTTATTTTTGAAGGTA